AACTGCCACTTATAGCTCTAAAAAGTAGCTTCTTTTCTGGGCAGAATCACAGACTTCAAATGGGAGCACCCAGAAAAATTAACAATTTTGGGCCTATCAATGGTCTTAAAAGGAAAAAAACTGAAGCCTTAAAAACACCACAAAAAATATGCTTCTACATAGCCTGAAATACACTCCGCTCAGGTGTGAATGCAGGCTAAATACAGCATTCGCGTTTACCAAAGTAACCACAACTACTGACATTCACGAACCACTGAAATGCGTAAAGAGATGCTGTCACCTTGCCTGTGGGTCCCCTGAACCCCTTATACTTGCCTTATCTGCAGTCCCTTGCAGCCGCTGGGCATACTTGACATTTCCAGGTCACAGAGGAGCATGCAACCTGCTCCCCTGTGCGGGTGGCTCAGGTCTAGCAGCCAATTGCTAGGCCTAAGTACTGTCACAAGCAGGGGCGTGGCATCACTGCTCCCCTGGGTTGCTGGCTGCAGAGGAGCCAGGCGCTGCAAGGTAGCACAGAAAAGGGGAACGGGGTTGCCCCCATTTTAGATAGGGTCACCTTGTCCATTCAGTGTCTCTTTAAGCCCAACTTTTAAGCTGTGGATGGAGTGGGTTACAAACTTTGTTGCGTTTTACTGCTGGATGGAAGACCAGTAGGGAGATTTCTCCTTCCTTCCTACCTTGGTGAGACTAGGACAAGAAATTAGAACAGGTTTTACTAAAACAGGAAACAAATTAATAATTATTATAAAGAAAAAAGACATGAATACATTTCTATTGAATCTTTCACTACCGTATATTTAAAAAATAAAAAGGGGGGGTTTGTTGCTTACTTTAACCTGAGAACTCCCATTGCTTCTGAACATACAAAGCAACATAAACCCAAGAGGCTGTAACCTTTCCAGTAACGTAAGCTACATTTGGCCTTTAAGTTCTGGGAGTTCAGACGCTAACAAGAATGTTTTCACTTTTTCCTTTCATATCTCTGAAACCTTGAGGCAAGCGCTTTTAGTTGTGAGGGCAAATAAACGCATTCTGTTTTTCCAACGTCATGGCTATGGTAATTCAAATATGATGTGTAAGAATACAGTACACTGTTTCTACATTATCTGTTCTCATTGTTCAAAACAGTTAAAGAAAACCTGTCCTCAGCTTGCTTTTTAAAAGCCCCACAAAATCCATCCATAGATCATCCATCCCTCTACATCCATATGGAAAAGCAGCTTAAGGATTCGGATAGGATGTCACTCCCTGAGCTGGATCCAGAGTAGTTGATGCCACCTCTATAGGCACCACAGCCAGATAGCAGAAGCAGGCCATCCATTCTCTTGTTGACTGGGACACTCCGCAAATACAGCTCCACTGGTAGAAGTTTTTTTTTTTTTTTAAAACAGTGTAAGAGGTAATAGGTACAGTTTCATGTTCTAGTTAGTATAGGTCTAAATAAAACTCAGGCTGTACCACAGGCTGTGTAGTTTGTTTTGGAACACTAAAGGCATCTATGAAAAGCTATTAAAAACAATGATTAGCCATGTAGGATTACTTACGAAAACTTGGTATAGTGACAGGTTTACTTTAAATAAGGAATGAGATTATGTCCATAAATTAATCTTGAGTAAATGTTTTGCCAATACAAACATACAGTTGAAACTGGTTGTGCTATTATGGTTTGCTGAAGGTTGCACGTATAGGAGACCAAAAGCAAATGGCTCACCTACACCTTTCCATTAGTTTCTTCGACATCCCATTAGACTATTAGAGTAATTTTATAAAAGTGTCCCCTATTTGGAGATGATGCATTTTAATACTTTAGCATCGCGTACGTGTGTGTTAAAAGTAACCAGACATAGGAGCCGCCATTGTCGACTTGCTCCATTGTCATTATACTCTTCAGGATTTTCTATATATTGATACAGAAGTATGCAGCCAGTGAAGCTGGAACCATCTACCTTCATGCTTGTTACAGGTCAGTGACTACTTGAAGGGGTAAACCAGAACTCCAGGCATACCACAAAACACATGGCTAAAAAAACATATTTGCACCGTTTAACCTGCCAAAGCATTTGTAATTCTTCACAGTCGGTCTTGTGATTTATATACCTTTGCTATAAAGGCACAGCCAGGAAGGTCATTCTACTGCTTCTTGGTACATCTTTACTGCTATCCGGATCATCTCCCAGCTATATGGACAAAAGGTGATGATGTTGATTCACTGTCTATTGAGCGGGCTGAAGATAAAATAAGGTGACATAAGCACGTCACCTGCCTGTCTATGCAGTATGGTAGGTGTGAGTAAATAGCAAATCAAAGCAGTACTACAAATTCTAGCAGATAAAAAGATACTGTATATTTACACGTTTACTTGAATAAGGCTTAAATGCTTAAAAAGAACTGGTCACAAAGAGAAATATTGAAGACACTGCTGACTACATTTGCAGGTTGGATGTGCCCAGTTTAATTGGCAAGACACTTGTACTAACTCCGTTTCTCAATAAGTAGGAAAACAAGGATGCAGAGGTCAGACTTTCAAATTCAAAATCAGCAGCGGCAGTTTCCAAATTTCTATCCTGACAGGTGCCCCTTTGACAAAGGGCATTTCATAGGGATACATTAATGTAGTCTATAGTTCAGACATTCAACAAGGAAAGCACCATAGTGCTAGGACAATGGCTCAGGTAATAAACCAAACCGGAAGCTATTTGTGCCCTTCTCACAGGCCTGTTATGAGACCTGTGACCAGAATCTGAGCAGATTATGCTGTAGGTGCAAAGTAACCTGGGTGTGGCACCTGTTTTGGGCAAGCCTTACATAACACTAAATCCTATTTGTGCAGTGTTAAAGAGGTCTACATCAACAAATGATTTACAATCAGCACGTCTGTACAAAATAGTTTTATTGGCAGTAAATAACAGAACAGTTCATACAAACAAAATGTAAATTTCAAGTACAAATTTTGTCCAGGAAAAAAAAAGGAGTATATGTGTTAGTCAATAAAAGGTCTTCTGTATCTTTCAATGATTTTATACATAAAAATCCATTTTTTTTAAAATATCATAGCTTTTGAATAACTAAGTGGATACAAAAAGTCAGAAAAAAAATCTGACTGCAATCAGCATGTTACCTTTGGTGTACTTGTTGGTGGATACAGACATATTCAAAGGGGGGGGGGGGGGGGAAAAAGACTAATTTATCACTACA